AGTTCTGGTTAAAAATGAGCTAGACTTGTCTGAGTATTTTTGAAGAATTTCAAGGATAAGTTCGCTACAGTATGAACACATCTCTTCTACAAAGAAAATGAATGTCTGACTTTATATGTTCTCCCTATTTTGTTTGTTATATGCTGGGTTCAAAACACTTTAGCTAGCATTTTGGGACTAGTTAGAAGAAAACTCCCCAATATATCTGCAGGACTTCTAGCAGAAACTGCCATGAATATTGAAATGGGAGCTCTTAAAGTGCAAAGCAGCAAATATTTTAAGTTGTCTAATAGCTGTCTTATAAAACATTTTTGTTTCTTCATAGGAAACACTTTTCCTGTAATAGTTCCCTCTACAAGAAAACTTTTTCCATGCTCTCCTCAGGAAGAGATTCAGCCCACGCCTTCTCTCTTTGCTGGTTCTAAATCCATAAGAATATTTTCTCTGTTTTTCAAGTAAAAAATTCAATGTAATATAGCTTTTAAGTAATACATGGTAATAAAACATCAAATTCTAGTTTTCTGCCATAATTACCTGGAAGTGTCCGTGTTTGCAATGAATTGTACAAAGATGAGAGTATATTAAAAGAAACAGTACTGTACACTGCGTGAGCTACTGAGAAATCTCCGGGGCATAAACTATTGATTACCTCTCGTAATACAAGAAAAATGCCCATCTGTGTCTCAATAGGAGAGGAAAAAACTTGGAGCAAAATAAATTCTCTCTTAATCCTCCACTATATTGGGTACTTGCCAAAATCTATGATTTTCTGAAAACTACTGCACCACTAATGGCACTACTTTTGTATTAGAACAAAAGAGTCTCTAACTCCTATAGCTAATGTGATACAATGGGAAGTCTAGTCTAGTTTTTAGTATGGTTGGAATGGAATAAAGTTTATCAGGAAAATGCCTTTTGTCAGAAAGCCTTAAGAGAGTTATGAGCTTAATTTAAATATATATTTGACTTCACAATTACAGAAATCTCAAAACATTAATATATGTAAATTTGCATGTTAAGGAAGCCTGACTTGGTGTTTGGCTGAAGTTTTACTATATTTCTGCACTCACAATGCTAAATACAATTTGTACAAATTAGTTTGATCATGATGAACATCAGTCTATACTTTTCTAAAGAATGGCTTAGTTTCAGTGTGAGCAATGAAGTAGGAGAAGTTAAAATAGATTAGTGATATATATAACATCCTTTTGTAGATTTCCTTCCCGTTAAGGCCAGAAGAGATCAGTCTGATCTTTCATGCAAAGGAATAAGCCAAACCTTTACAGTGGTAAAGAGACAGCAAACACTTCATATGGCTTGAAGGAAAATAGGACACTGGAGATGGAGCTTTTTTATATTATGTGCTAAGATTAAATATCCCACGCATCCCAAAATAATCTATATTGTGTCCCAAGCCAAGATTTGATTTTTTTCCTAAAGAAGGAGAGTTACTCCACTGCATCATCTAACCTTCAAAAACACACAAACGTCTAACTCAGAGTGTACAAGACAACATTATTTTTCCCCTTAAGTAAAATAGTTGGTTTTCTAATGCAGAAACAAAAAAGAGGAGAAAAACACAAAACAGGTTCACAAATGTCAGAGCTTTAATTGTCCATTACTTGCTATTGCATCAGAAACAACTCCAAGACAGTTACAAGCCTTCCCTGTTCCAAAATCCCACCCTCATTTTGTATTTTGAAATAAACTTTAAATAAAATTATCCTTTTTTGCATTCCTTCCCATCATGTAGTTTCTCACCTTGATTTGTAATTGCAGGCCCTGTTTCTAGCTACTAGTCTATTATATAGAAAAATCCAACCTTTTTCAATTCATCTTCCAAGCTGACTTCTACTCCTTCATGCCTGGCTCTGTGGTAACTAAGTGCTTCGCTTCAAGATCAGAGCAGAATGATCTGCCATACTAGGCACTAGCTTCTGGAAGGAACAATCCTGCATTGGTTCTTGAAAGAAGAGAAGATGAGCCAGCAGATATCTTCCATCTCTCATTCTCTGGAAGTATGACTAATGTAGGTGGATAAGAGTGCAGCCAAAGAAATTCCCTCTTTGTATAGATAATTGGCTAAACTATAAGGAGCTTTTTTCCAGTATCTGAATCATGGCAACTTTGGAGACAAATATTGCTGTGTTAAGTTGGTGCAAATCCACTGCAGCCAATGGAATTACTCCAAATTTACATTTGTGTAACACACCGTTGTTTGCCACTGACCTACCTGAAAAGAAAAATTAATTCCACAGATGCAGGCATATTAAAAAGGGTCAATGTCAAAAGAACAGATACAACAGTGTTCTAAATCCAGGGGGTGCGAAACTGAATCTGAAGTCAGGAATACTAACTGCATTTACCCAAAATGAAGTATAATTTCAAGGGAAGTGGAACACATACTTGTTTTAAAAGGGCAAGAAAAGCAGGCACAAAAGTAGATCTTATTCCACTAAGTTTAGGAGCTCCTAATGCTGGTAAAAGCACTAGCACAATTTACTTATATGCACTGCATTAAACTTTACCCCCAAATGGCACATTTCCTTTCCATTAGGGTATGCTGTGAAATAACTGGGGAGCATACACTGCAAGCGATCTCACTGGATTTGTGCAATGAACTGAGCAATTTCTGCTGTCCTATGTAGGAATAATGAGGAGCACAGATGGATTCCTGCTGACCACTGCAGCAATCTCAAACACTTCAAAGCTGGTATATACAAAGTCTAGGAGGATTAAATTCATAGGACTTCATAGTTCTCTCTCCCTGTGTCTCCTAAAAAGGAAGAGGCACAAGGTTTGGATAAAGATAACCTCAAACTATTCCACTACAGGGAGAGCAGGAAAAGACATAACATTATATATATATATATATATATATATAAAAATAATAAAATCAGAGATCAGATTGATTATATTTCTCAGCTAAGTGTCTACTACTGTTTCTAAGGGATGGAAGACAGGACACAAAGATCTGCCAAGTTGCACCCTGCTGGGGAGTGGATTTCTTGTCTGGGTGAGTGGTAAGGGGTTTGCGCAGCACACCTTTAGAGAAGGCTTATAAAAACATCTTCCTCTGAGTGATTGTTTTGTGCAGTATCTTTCCCTAAGACCTTTATAGTCCCTCAATTTTGAAGTAGCATCCAGGCATTTTGTGGCAGCTTAATTCTGTCCCCTATATACTAGAAGGCAACAGCTCACCTCCTTCCCCAAAAGCCAAGGTGAGATTTAATAATAATTAGCTCCCCCTTCAATCCCCCCAAACTCTCATCCAATCTTGGGTGATCAGATCTGTAGCTTGCTCTGTACTACATGGATCCATTTCGGTTATATGACGCTCAGCAGGTGAGTCGATGCCAGGAGGAACAGGAAACTATTCTGCTGCTCACTACAACGCTGCGCTCAATTATTCTGCTTTCTCCAACCGTGTAGCTCCCCGGCGCCCGATGGCGAGGGTCCGGCTTTGCACCCCGGTGTCACTAAACTGGCCACAAGGGTTTATCGAGAAAACACCTGCCGCCTTCCCACAAACATCAGCCCCGGCCAAAACCCAGCGTGACTTGCAAAGCCCAGCCGGCCTTCCTTTCTTCCCTGTTCCCCGCTGTCATGCGAGTGGCTGGGAAAGAGGACCGGCACAGCGTGGCCAGCCTAGAGCCTCCCGAAGGGACCCGCATGGCCGAAGGAGATCCCGACAGAAACCAGCAGCCGCTCCGGTGCTCACTCCCTGCCCAGCGCAGGGCATACCTGGATTCAGCCTCCGGGCCGGGCCGGGCCCACCCCCAGGGCGTCCTGCGTGGCGGGGGAGTTGCTTAGGGCTGTGCTCAGCGAACCTGCTGGTGCCAGGTGCGGGGCTGAAATCCCCGGCGCTCAGATACCTACCAAAGGGCGAGTCCCCACCCCGTGCCCGTCAGAGCGGTGCCCGGTCCCGGCCGGCCCCCGGAGCGCTGCAGAGCCTGATCGCACGCGCGCACCTGGGCAAAGTCTACCTGAGTCAGAGCCGACACCGGACCCCTGCCGCCCAGTACGCTCCCCCCGCGCCTCAACCCCGACCACGTTACCCCAAAACCTCCGCGCTAAAGCTCCTTGCCGCGCACTCCTCAACCATCACCCCCGCCCCTACCCGAACCCCAGTTTCCATCTCAACCACGAACCTCTAGTGCATCCTTCATGCCCTGCCCCACACCGTCAGCCTACCGAACCCCAACTTCAATTCACCACCCAGAATTCAACCCCTACGCACTCATGTGCCCCCACTCCGCCCCCTCCAGTTACCCCCCAACTTCACTCCCGAGCTAGGATCCCAAATATCAATCCCCATTATAGCCACCAACGTGCTCCTAAACCTCTTCCTGCAAGCGAGCCCCCCAGCCTCACTCCCCGTGTACCGCCCCAAACAAACCCCAATTCACCTCGCGTGCCCCCAACCTCACTCCCACCTGCCACCCCAAACCAACCCAATACACCCCGCGTGCCCCCAACTTCACTCCCACCTGCCACCCCAAACCCCAGTACACCCCCTGCACCCCAAACCTCACTTCCATCTGCCACCCCAAACCCCAATTCACCCCCTGCACCCCCAAACCTCACTTCTACCTGCTACCCCAAACCCCAATATACCCCGCGTGCCCCCCCAACCTCACTCCCCGTGTACGGCCCCAAACAAACCCCAAATACACCCCACGTGCCCCCAAACCGCACTCCCACCTGCTATCCCAAACCAACCCCAATACACCCCGCCTGCCCCAACCTCACTCTCACCTGCCACCCCAGACCAACCCCAATACACCCCCGCGTGCCCCCCAACCTCATTCCCATCTGCCGCCCCAAACAACAATACACCCCGCGTGTCCCCAACCTCACTCCCACCTGCCGCCCCAAACAAACCCCAATACACCCGGCGTGCCCCCCATCTTCACTCCCCGTGCACCACCCAAGCAACAAGCCCCGATCCGCCCCGCAGAGGAGCCCCTCTCCCCGGACCGCACCTGCCCCTCGCTCACCCGCCTGACGCCGAGCCGTCGGCCGGGCTCCTGCAACTGGGGCCGCCCCGCTGTGCCATGAACAGAGACGCCGGGGTAGAGGGCAGCTGCGGGGGCAGGAGGCGCCCGGCTGGCCGCGGAGCGAAGCGAGGAACTGGGCGCGCTGGCTGCCGCCGCTGCAGCCCCAGCGTGACAGGCAGAGCGGGCAAGAGGCTGCGCCGATCCCCGCGGAGGAGGGAAGCCTGGCACGGAGAGCCAGGGAGCGAGCGCCCGCTGCTGCCAGCCTCGCTCAGGTGCAAACCTAGGACTCAGAGCCTCCTCCCCGCGTCCGGGGCCAGCCCCTCCGCCCGGCCCCCGCCGCCTCCGGGCGCCAACTCCGAGCCCTGCGGGAAGGGGAGGCGGGGCCGGCCTCTGCGGCTTAGCACGGTGGGAGCCCCTACTGGTAAAGCCACCGGGAGGGGCGGCGAGCCCAGTGGGGGACAGGCGGAGCTCGGGGCGAGCTCAGCCCTGGGGCGTGACACCTGGCCAGCGGCACGCTCCTCCCCACGCCCCCGGCACGGGACTCAGGGGCTGGCGCTAACCCGCTTTCACCCCACGCCTGTTCGGCGCCAGGGAGCTGCGGGGCGCTCGCTGGGGCCTGATCCAACCGCCGGGAAAGCTAGTTGAAAGAGTGGTACTGATTTCACTGAGAACTGGATCGGACCCTGGAAGGAGTGAGGTGTAAAGTCTCCGGGAACGGGGCCGTGGCCCTAGCAGTAGAAACTCAATCTGCAGCTCAAGCTGATCTGACCCCCCTCTTGACCTATTTTACAGAGAGAGCCCAACCATGAAATTGGAGTCCGGATCCAGTTAAATCTCTGACCCTCGCCCCTCAAAATCCCCAAAACCACCTTTCCGGAGTGGACTCCTGCAATTGCCATAAGCCCTGATCCTGGCAACACCGGGACATTGCAACTACTGAGGTGTAAAATTACTCCCTAAAGCGTGTGCAGGGTTGGGGTTCAGAGATTGTAAAACTGCTTGCAGCAGGGAGGGACTGTCTCTTCCTATGGGTTTGTACAGTGACTACTAGCACAATGGGGCCTCTGTTGTGATTGGGATGTATAATAACAATAATAGGTATCAGTGTGATGTAAATAATAATTAGTATAATAAAATCACTTTTGTTAATAAAAGTTTTACACTTATGCTGCAAAGATGAAAAATACTGGTAGATGAGGCTTGTATAAAGGTGATGAGTAAAAATAATAATAGGAAGAAATAATCTAAATATATACTTAAAAATAGAACAATTGAAATAACACAAAGACTCTTCCTACTCTGTCTAAAATAATTTTACATGAGGGAAGCTAATGAGTGAGACTTGGCAAATCAGCGTATAGTGTTACCTTTTAACAACCTTTCAGCATTACTTGTTTCATTTCATGTTTGTTTCCTTGAATTTACAGCATGATGTACTAAAAAAAGATCGGAGAAGGAGGCTGTACTGGGATTCATTTTAAGTAGTTCTGTCAATGTTTATCAAAATTGAGCTGCAATTGTCAAAAGTGATACATGGTTCTTCAAGGCAAAATGTGTTAGAAATAGCACAAACATAGGGCATCCTCCGCCTCCCACTGAAATAATGGTCAGACTTCCACTGATTTCAAAAGGAGAAAAGCAGACCCATGCAACACAAAAATAATTTGGGGGCAATCAGTTGGGGTCAATGAGCAGAGCATTACTGCAGTCTATGGAGCTAGGCTAATTTACACCAGTGACCAAACTGGTCCAAAATATGAAAGCAGGAGTCTGCTATGAAGAGCAAGATTGGGGAAGTCTGTATTTGCACTGTTTCTACTAATATATTTTGCCTGGAAAGATAATTTATTAATCACTATTTACAATAATAGATTTATCAGGAGGAACTTCCCAAGCTATGTTACAGGGGACCAAATAACAGCTCTATAGTGAAGGGTTTTTAAGAAATTTCAGCATAAACCTTTATTTTCATGGTTTTTCACTTCCACATAGGCATCTTTGTTCCCAAAACCAAGCTTATCAGTCATGCTTTACTTTTACAGATGAGATGAAAAAATCAAAACATTCGGGTAGAGTATTTTGTTTTGAAAATTAGCTGCTTTACATTGCCAGTAACTTGTTCTGAAAACAAATGTTCATAAGGCATTTTCCTATGCTGATTTAGGACTTGATTCTGCAACCCCTTACACAAGTGTGCAGTCCCATCCATGTCTGTGGGGCTAGTTGCATAAATATTTCAGGACTCAGTCCACAGTGAATATATACAGACACTGAGGCATTTTTAATCTACTTCTTCCATGCAAACTCCACCTACTGCTGCTGGTGTTCTCTGTGTGGAGGTTGGCCGGGAGATGAGGCCATTGGGCTGAGTATCCAAGAATGGTCCCTCTAAAGAAGAAGGGATTCTGGAAGTCTCTAATTTACCCCTTACACCTCTAACTAGAGATGGTTTGGATAGTCACAGGGGATTCGCTAATTTCAATTAGGTAAACTGTGCTGCCAGTACTGGAGGGTGGGGGGCAGGGTGTTTTGAGCATTAGGCAGGTTTGTAAGGCCTTCACCTTTGGACCTTTGGTCTGTGTGTGAATTTCAGATCATACTCACTGCCTGCTCCAGCAAACAGCTAGAGGTGCACTGAAACAGAGATGACATCTAGGAATATCCCATGGTGCATATATGCAAGGCCCCATGATCTATGCAGAGCTGCCAGGTAGCTGGAATCTTCATGCTTTTACCCAGCAGCTGCTGTAACTAGCTCGCACTCCACTGCCAATGACCTGCTGTAGACACAGATCATGGGACATCTCACTCAAGGGATCTGACATAGGCAACAGCCTCATAGCTCCGGATTGGCTCTCTGCCCTATATAAACCCAAGGGGCATTCCAGGGAAAATTCAGGCAACAATGTGGATCTCCTGTAGCTGCTATGACCATTCCAGCTCTTGGCTTTGACCTCAGCTTGATTTGTGTCTTCACCTGCTGCCCCAGACCCTGAAAACTGACTCAGAGTCTGACCTTTGGTTTTGATGCTGGTCTGGAACCCAAGTATGAACTCCTCCTAGGGTTGCCAGGTGTCCGATTTTTGACCGGAACGCCTGGTCAAAAAGGGACCCCGGTGGCTCCTGTGAGAACTGCTGACTGGGCTGCTAAAAGTCTGGTTGGCTTCAGCGGCTGGCTCCACGCGGCTCCCAGAAGCGGCTGGCATGTCCCTCCAACTCCTAGGCGCAGGGGTGGCCAGTGGGAGCTGAGTGAGTGGTGCCTGCAGATGGGGGCAGCGCGCAGAGCCCTCTGGCCTCCCCTGCACCTAGGAGCCAGAGGGACATGCCGGCCAGTTCTGGGAGCCTGCACTCTCTCCCACACCCAGACTCCCTGCCAGAGCCCGCACCCCTCCCCCAGCTCTGAGCCCCCTCCTGCACCCAGACTCCCTCCCAAATCCTGCCCCCCCCACACCCCAAATCCCTGCTTCAGCCCTGAGCCCCACTCTGAACAACCCAGCCCCACCCCAGAGCCTGCACCCTGAGTCCTCACCCTCACCCCCTCCTGCACTCCAACCCCCAGCTCCAGCCTGGTGAAAATGAGTGAGTGAGCGAGGGTGGGGCAGAGAGAATGACAGAGGGAGGTGGAGTGGAGTGAGTGGGGGTGTGGCCTCGGGTTGGGCGTGGGGCAAAGGTGTTCTGTTTTCTGCTGTCAGAAAGTTGGCAACCCTAATTTCTCCACTCTTCCCAGCCTCAGATTTGCCCCTACTCTGACCCTTGGTCCTGACTGCCTTTGTTGGGATCCTGACGTATATATATGTACATTTCCTTCTCCCCTTTTTTTACTGCAAGAGGAGAGTCTATGTCCTGTACTGACATCAAAATCATAGTCATAGCAACTAATTATAATATCACAAGCAGATAATTATGACTTCAGTTGAGGGATGAGAAACAAGGAGCATTTGTTACTAATAATTTCAAATAGATTAAGGGGAGTGTGTGTATGGAGGGAGTTATTATGGATGGGCTGGGTGGGTTGGGAATTATTTTTTGGGCATTGTCTGTAATTATTTGCACATTTTTGTTTGCAACTCTTTGTGTGCATAGAGCATAGACCAGACATACTTTTTGTACATCTACATCAATTAATAAAATAAATATAGAATACTAAAGCTGAAGAAGAAAATTACATAATTTGCAGTCTATAAAGAGCATCATTGCTAAACAGAACATTTTTCAAAGTTTTCTATGATGCAAATGCAACTCTTTATGAAAAGACAGGATAGTTTAACTATGAATTCCTTGGTTTTGTTGTATTGTTAGTGTGTCGTATTTAACATCCAGTCAGGGCTGTCCCTAGAGGGGTGCGGGGCCCGGGACGAATCAGCCCCCACATAGGTGCGGGAATTAAGGGTGCAGGGGGTGCTGCAGTACTCTCGGGCTCCCGGATGCCAGCCCCGCCTCCAGGGTCTCAGTTGGGGTCCCTGTGCCCGGGGTCCTGGCTGCCGCACCACGCGCTTGGGGCTCTGCTACCACCCCGCGCATGCGGGGCTCCGGCTGCTGCCCCGCGCACTCGGGGTCTTGGGTGCTGGCTACTCGCACTGGCCCGCAGGGCCCCCCAAAGCACAGGGCCCAGAGCAGTCACCCCAATTCGCTCTACCCAAGGGACGGCTTTGCATCAAGTATCTGTCTTTGTATGTATAAAAGCATTTAAGTATAGTAATTCCTTTATCCGGAGTATTGATGCCACAATTGTACTTCTGATTTTTACGACAAAAATGAGCATAACATTCTATAAATATATGTAGTGAAACAAAGGAAAGAATATTACATTGATAGTGTCCTTTTACTTGGTTGATTTATTTATATTTCCCTCTCACTGTTTATAGTAACCCTGGAAGTGTGACATGGAGTTTTTTTCTTTTCTTATCAACATTGTTTATCTTGCTGTTTATAGCATGATATCTTTTGCAAAAATATAAGAAGAAGGTAGCTCAGATGTTGAAGATACCAACCTTCATAGATTCATAGAGTTCAAAACCAAAAGAGACCATTCAATAATCTAGTCTGACCTCCTGTATATCACAGGCTGTTAAA